CAGCCCAGCCTCGCATCAAAATTTTAATCTTATTTGAACTAAAAAGTTGAGAATCAGTAGCTTTTTCTTCACACAGTTAGCATTGAGGATCTGTAAACCAAGCCAGGTTCCATGCGGACCATGCGCACCCCGTTGCCTCATGGATGTCACTGTTCGGAAATCTTGCTATGATACATCGGAAGAGGATGAAGTCACGGTCACATCAGACACTTGGTACCCACCAGGAATTTGTTCATGTCCACTTGCCACAAATGATTATGATTTTAGCCAGAATTTTGGCCTTCCAAATCCTGATTATTTCCACTCGAGGGGCCGCTTTGAAGATTTTCTTTGTATAAGGATCCTATAGGGAAAAGCCTTCAAGGCTCAAGATTCCATGATACCGAATCCTTACCGGTGGACAACCATTTGTCAGCCAAGTCATTCCTAGCTGATGCCAATCGACAACCTCATTTGGTCCAAAGGAGCGCCTAAAACTTGGTGCCTATGGATCCCCAACCCACATATCTTCCACTCTGGCATCAAGATGGCTGGCTATTGCAAATAATCAAGGATAGAGCGCACACAGGGGCTCTTGTAGACACCAGACATCCCATCAAAACTAGGCTAATTGCCCATTATGCTCCTCAATTTTTGTGCCAAGCCTGAGAAGGTGTTGCACCTTCTCTATAGCGTTCACAAACAATGATTTATTAATTCTAGAGTTCATCTCAACCCCTCCTCTAGGTAAATATTTGTTCTCAGATTTTTAGCCGCATCCCCCCATGTCCAACTAGGATTTTCCATGCCCACTTGGCGATCAAGCACCAGTTCATGATCTTCGTATTGATAACTCCGAGACCACCGACCTCCTTGATGAGCATATAGCAGGCCATTGACCATAAGATTTTTTTACCCCTTTACTTCTCCCAAAATAAGCAAGAGCACACCTTATCCAGTTTTTGATGCGCTCCATCTTGGACAAGATAGAATCCCATCACGTACATACAAATGTTGGGGATGCAATCATTAATGAGAACCATCCTCCCTCCTGAGTCCAATAACTTTTCTTATATGGTTCAAGCCTACCGGCCATTTTATAAATGACCAGCTCAATATTCATAATCTGTAATGCTCGATTAAAGATAGACATCCATCGATAAGTTGTAACTTTTGTTGAAATAATGAGCTTCCTTGATTTACACAGTTGAATAATATGATATTTTGTGGTGCTTTTCAATGAGCCGAGAGTCACCAACTTATGTATCTGAAGTTTTATAGTGTGTCGATGACACCTCTAGAACTTGTTTTCTCCTACATGTGGAGACTGGCACCATGGAGTAGGCCGACATTCTTACCTTGTACTAGTAGGCTTCTTAGATGATTGTATCAATTGTATCCTTGCTGGGTCGTTGTGTTTCTATAATTGGACACAAAACTCTCAACCAGCGACACACATTCTTACATGCGGGCCCTTGGCATCCTCGACGCACCATGAGACTCCAAATCAAGGGAGAGATAAGTAGGTAGATAGATATAAATATATAAAGTTCCAAAAACTCGTTTCAAAAAAAGTTCCAAAAATTGTGGCCGGCCTGTTGTCCTGTCCTCTCAGCGGTGTCTCTACCCCCCCTCCCAAAAATGAATTTTTTTACCAGTCTTCAGCCCAGCCACGCATCAAAATTTTAATCTTATTTGAACTAAAAAACTGAGAATCAGTGGCTTTTTCTTCACTGAGAATCAGATGGATATGGATCGCCTGCAGCACGCGTACGTCAGTTCCATCATATCTCATCCATTCATTCTGCATCCTCATGAGCACTCCTGAGCTCCCCACTACTGGTGCTAGGCACATATCATCTCTGTCTGCCCAGTGTGGCGAAACGGACCACCCCCACCACCTCAAGCATCGCACTCGCGAGGTGTACGTACGTACCGTATGTTCTGCATGTTGTTGCTTCTATAGCTGGTGATGCTGAGCTGAGCCAGGCAAAACGAGGCATGTCATGAGGTTTTTGGACGGGCTCCTTCATGCATCATGGTCCGGCCGGTCATGGAAGCTACAGGCCATACCGATCGATGGAGGTAGCTGTCGACTCTGCTGCTGCTGCAGGCAGCGGGACCGCGGGCGCGCCAATTTCTTCCTGGTCCGCTGTAGACTTCCGGACGATCTTGTTGCTTTCGACAAAGCATTATTGATCGATTGTATTCGTAGGGTAGCCCATCTACCGCCTACCGTCTGTCGTCCTCCCGTGCATCCGCATTGCTGGCTGGTTCACTGCTATGGCCCCTTTGCAATGAAACCTTGTGCTCAGCTGCTCGTGCTCGTGCCGCCGCTGCAGTGATGCGCATGCGTTGGTCGCCAGCCGGCAGGGATTCCATCTCCATCTATCATCGCTGGCCGTTTTTTGCCTTTCAAAAATGATTCAAATTTATTATCAAAGTTTACTGAAAGTACAAAGCACCTCAAATATAATAAAAATTACATCGGAATTTTGAGATCATCGAAGGACCACAACCGCCGCCAGAATGAGCCGACCGCATCACTCCCCTACCGAAGCCGGCTTGACCTAGTCGATGACATCCGAGAAGTCTTTGTGCACATGCCGTGAAGGACCAGCGCCATGGAGCCGCGGTCGTCGTCGTTGAACTCCTGAATAAATCTGAGACACCTGACATCAAATCTCGCCACATGGCGAGAAACTCTAACCTCGCCGCCCCATAGGAGACGGCATAAATCTACGTCGGAGCGCCGCCGACTACGTGCAGATGGACGAATTCGAGGATTATCGAAGTCTAGAAGACAAATTGTAGAAGAGGCACCGTCGTCCGTCCGAATGCCCGCTAAGCCTAAAAACCGTAACCTAAACTATTAATCAGAGCGAAGGCACCGGGATTATCCTTCCCGCCACCAGCGGTTAGAGTGGCAAGCGGAGAAGAGGCGATTCCATGGACTCGTCAGGGAAATCTGGGGTGGAGAGTTGCCCTAGCTAAGGGAGGGAAAGAGAAGCCCTAGATTAATCGCGGCTCGCCGTTGGTGCATGAAGATCTCCAACCATGCACGTGAGGCACTGACGACGCAGAGGGCGACCGATCGAGCTCCGCACCTCAGTGACCCAATTGCTGTCTCTACTTGCAGACGTGCAGTATGATCCATCCCGAAGCAGGCAAAGCTAGATCTCGGATTGTACTTCGTTTGGAGTATGTGATCATTTGGGGTTTATTAATTACAATTGCAATGCTGCTCCTGGTGCGGTACTCGGTACTCCTATGCTTCTGCATGGGCAGATGAATCTATTCTAGGTAGGTCGCTTGCTTGATGCCATGGCCGTCTCTTTCCGCTCTTAATTAGCGAGGCGCGTGAACTGAGACCATTGATGGACTAAGAGACACGAAGCGGGAATGATGAA